CAAAATGCTTCACGTGGTTTGGGTACGGCCCCTTAAGTACACTGCACTCCAAATGTAAATGAACAATTTTCTGTATCGAAATAGGTGGACGTTTTCGTGGACACACAGACAGGGTGCCATTTTTTTCCCTAAATTTGGACAAATTGTGTCTTTACTGTTGCTTCGAAATAGGGGCTTATCTGAAATAGGTCCAGTTAACGTCGATACAAATCTGTTTCTGATTTTAGATGTGCACGAGGACGTCTAACCTACGTATTAAGGTGGGTCGAAAATCTGGGATCAAAAAAATGGACCTGGAAATAATTACTTGAGGATATCCTAAAACAAGTTGCAAAGTCCATTTGAACCCATCAGCAGCGCTTTCGGCCGTTTGGAGCCCTCAAAGTTAGGTCTTTGGGTGAAAAATGACACTTTTCAGCCTCTAGACGCCGACCTAGGGGTCAGCATGGATACGGCTATCTCTGGTTTGGTGCGAATTTATATATACAAAAGCACCCTCGAAGGCGATACGCTGTGCGACACGATCTTCAGGTCCGACCATCGACTTTTAAATTTAACTGTTTTTAACCAAAATTTGCGTTTTATGGCCATATTTTGAAAACTACTCGTCCCGCAAAAAAATATGGAAATGAAATCGTCTCGTCTCGTTGAGATGCAACAGAGTTAGACCCCAAAGACACCGAAAGTGAAGTGGCTGGGCCGGAAGTACCTTCCCTACCCCCGGACACGTGGATTTCCGAGACCTCGGTGCATAGTATAGTTGTGTAATTGTGGTGAGACACTTTCTTGGTGACGTGCGGACACCGGAAGTGCTGTGGGGAAAACCAGAGGTGCCCCGTGAATTCATAGAATTTCGAAGGTAACATGGATTCGCATCTTACACGGTAAAATTGACATCTTGTATTTCAAGCAAGCTACTTGGTTTTCAAGACAATTTTCAAGGAATCTTCTTGGATTCCAAGACATTCTTTTTACCGTGTATAAGTCTTGGCAATAAACAATGCCTCCTTCATTTTATGCAGTTTTTTCTTCTCGGAATAGGTCACATAATCCGGTATTTTACGCGTTCTTCCGTTTTTCCACATCACCCTTCCGGTATGCACACGTCACCCAGTAAGTGTCTCACCACAATTACACAACTACACTATGCACCGAGGTCTCGGAAATCCACGAGTACGGAGGTAAGGAAGGTACTTCCGGCCCAGCCACTAAACTTTCAGCGTCGTCAGGGCTATGGTCGACGAGACGAGATGATTTCATTTCCATATTTTTTTGTGGGACGGATAGTTTTCAAAATATGGCCATAAAACGCAAATTTTGGCTAAAAACAGTTCACTTTAAAAGTCGCTGGTCGGACCTGAAGATCGTGTCGCACAGCGTATCGCCTTTGAGGGTGCTTTTGTATATCAATTCCGCACCAAACCAGAGATAGCCGTATCCAGGCTGACCCCTAGGTCAGCGTCTGGAGGCCGAAAAGTGTCATTTTTGACCCAAAGACCTAACGCTCCAAACGGCTGAAAGGGCTGCCGATGGGTCCAAATGGACTTTGCAGCGTGTCTTAGGATATACTCAAGTACGTTTTCCAGGTCCACTTTTTTGATCCCAGATATTCGACCCACCATACTACGTATGTATAAAATTAGTGTGCAGGTTTATTGAACTAACTCTTGCAGGGTCAAAAAACTGGCGTTTTAGAGAATCTCTAACATAAAACACACGGTAATTGACGTCAATTGTGTTTTTTTTTTCAGTGAACCCTCAGAGAAGCTGCAACTTTTGCGAGATGCTTACAGGTAGTGAAAGTATAGCTACATCTTGAAAGTTTGTTGTGAAACTTCAACTTTAACTTAATAGTTCCGTAATACCTCATATTGGCTAGGGGATAGCGAAATCCTTTTCTCCTCTGGCTGGAACAGTTTCATCGCTAATAATGTTAATTTCTGCATTCCCAGACCTGGACTGATTTATTTCTATTTATTTATATATTTACCTACATTAGTACGCGTCTGGGGTTACTGACCTAATTGTCACTCATTTATTCACGTTACTTATTAATGTTAGGAAATATTCTTAGTAATGTCAACACGCATTATTTCGTAATACCGATGACAAAGGTTGTTAGCAGCTTTGGGAGATTTTCAAGCGGGGCCAGCCCGTTACCCGTTACCTCTAAGAAAACTCCCTCTAATCGTGTTTAGAGGAAAATTGTGTTTGTACATAATTTAATCTAACAAAAACAGTGTGAATTTACATCTGAGAGAATTACCTCTAACGTTAAAGGTAAATCACCACCGTGCAGCACGTAGGCAAATTACCTCTAAGAGCCGTTGGCAATTTACTTCCAACACGAACAGTGTGAATTTAACTCTAACATAATTACCTCTAACGTTAGAGGTAAATCACCACCGTGCAGCAAGTGGGCAAAATACCTCTGTGGCGAGCGCTTCTCTTACCTCTAATCGTGTTTAGACGTAAATTGTGTGTGCACACAATTTACCTCTAATGTAATAACACGACATTTACATTAAAGCAAATTGTGTGCACACACAATTTACCTCAACTGGAGAAATTCACCTCAATTCTTAAGTTCTTGAAATCTGAAGAGTTTCACCTTAATTCTGAGAGTTTCTCAAAGTTTTCCTGTTACCCCTCAACACATCAGGCGATGTTTTTACCGCATAAGAATAAAAAGTTCTAAGTAGCCTTACTTACAATATTATCAATAATACTAACAAAATTTTTAAGTAACTCAATGAGTTCCTTTGTACAAGTATTCTTTTGTTTTTCAGACTTAGGAAGACACCTGATTGTACGCTGCTTCTGGCGAGGACACTGCTAAGCAACACAAAGCACGTCTCATCGGCGCTTGAGGCCCGTTCCCTCCTCGACGAGGCCTTGTCTCTCTGGCCTGACAACCCTTACGTGCTCGTCGAAGGAGCAGATATCATTATGCTCTTAGATGCAGGTGCGTCATTTCATGATTATGTCTGAGATTTGCTTTTCATTAGGATGGGATATGGGATGTAGTACACTCTAAACCGCGACGGACTTACTCAAGGATGAGCTTTTCTTTAATAAAATGCACTCTGGAAACTGAGGTGTGAGACGGTCTCGCACCATTTGGTGCGAGGTAAAAAACCTCACACCAAATGCTGCGAGGCAAACATACCTCACTCCAAATGCTGCGAGGAGATCCTCTGTGCCTCGCACAAATGAGTGTGAGATTAGTTTGGTCTCGCACCAATGATTCCCAGACGCTAACATTGTAATTAAGTTTGCGTGTAAAGAACCTAAAACATTTGGCATTCAAAGAACGCAAAATATTGCCGTCCCTTGTACAATGCCAATCAATGACGTTGTTTTCCAATGAAAAAATATGTAACACTTTTACGAGTCAAGGCTAAGTTTCAATACTGTATTGAAAATTTGAATAAATTAAGATGGCATTTATCAAAAAGAAAAGCAGAGTGATGATAATGTTGCAACATAATTGTTCAATAGTACTGCCCACGGGGGAGGCCTATCACTCAAATGACAACTGAACAATTATCGACGCTGTTTGTCGTCTGCGTCGATTTGGCTATCACACATGAGCCTGAAACTCATTTATTGTATCAAACCACAGTCTATGGACTGGATGGATTTAGGTTATAGCCGCCCATAGGCTATGCCAGCCTAGGCTGCTAGCAAATTATGGAACCAATGCTTTTGTATTGGGTTCTGAGAAGAACAGCAAAGTTACCAAGTGGCCTTATTAAACTATTGTGAGTAATACAAACCATCTCATCAGCCCCTGCGGTGCTGTTGTTTCGGTCATTTGATAAGGTAATAGGTAATTGTTTAGTTGTCATTTGAGTGATAGGCCTCTCCCGTATTTTCAGCCATATGGTGTGGGCAGTACTATTGAACAATTGTGTTGCAACATTATCACTCTGCTTTTCTTTTTGATAAATGCTGTCTTTATTTAAATTTTCAATACAGTATTGAAACTTAGCCTTGACTCGTAAAAGTGTTACATATTTTTTCATTGGAAAACAACGTCATTGATTGGCATTGTACAAGGGACGGCAATATTTTGCGTTCATTGAATGCCAAATGTTTTAGGTTCTTTACACGCAAACTTAATTGCAATGTTAGCATCTGGGAATCATTGGTGCGAGACCAAACTAATCTCACACTCATTTGTTCGAGGCACAGAGGATCTCGCAGCATTTGGTGTGAGGCATGTTTGCCTCGCAACATTTGGTGTGAGGTTTTTTACCTCACACCAAATGGTGCGAGACTGTCTCACACCTCAGTTTCCAGTGCAGTTTTGTTCACATCTTGACTCAATGCCATATTGTATGCTGCGAATGACATTTGAAGCACATCTTATTGCCTCGATGAATTTAAGCAACGTGCAAAGGACAAATTTGCATTCTTTTGGTGCCCTTTTTACTCGTTCTGTACCCCCCTCCCTCCAAATATCACTACGTGGAGGTGGAAGAACGAGTATTGTGCTCGGTACTGTGTGAGTTAGAAGCCATTTCGCCAGAGGAAACTGAAAGACACACAGACAAGTGCAGTATACCAAACGGTAGGGTTTTACCCAGTAATGACGCCGTAATAGAGTTTGTTTTCCACTCAGATGGCAAGTTTTAGAGAACGATTAATAATTTTTGTCCTTGACGATATATCCCCCCCCCCCTTTCCTGATAGGAAGCCTTTAAAAGTTCTTTAATCAATCCGGGACGTTAGTCTGACGTAGACTATCAATATATCAGAGTAAAGTTCGACATATCCAGTAGTTTTGACGTATGGGCATTGGTTTACGATTAAAAAAATACAGTATTGAAATATCTTACGATCGACGTGCATACGGTTAGGAAGTAAGATTGAGAACATCATTTGAGTTCAGAAAAAGGTAATTGAAGACATCTTCTAACAATTATTATTTTTAAAATTACAATGAAAATAAAGTATTTTATATGAATTTTTGAAATCTTCGATTTGGAATTAGCTAAAAATGATGTCACTATGGGTTTTGATAAGAAACATTGTGGAAGTAGCTCATACCAACTCTGATTTATTCTGAAAGTTTTGTTACACATTGACTTTTAGTTTTTAAGCTATAGGGATTGCGCTTTCACTGAACAACCGACTTGTGATGGAAGAATCTCTTCGACGTAGCTGGAATGGATGGATATGAACTTTCCATTTTTAAGTCGACATTTTCCTATAACAATTCTCAGTCATAATATGTCGCTTGTCCCTATTGCAAAGCACGCACGGCACTTCCGGCGCTGGCGAAACCACGCAACCCCGCGGAGCCTCCGTCAAAGCACGCACAGCGGTCCGGCGCTGGCGAAACCACGCAACTCGATTTTTTGGACGATTTTTGAGACCTTTACCGTTGGAAAGAGGACGTTTCCCTCTCCCAGAATATATTGTTATCTCAAAATTTTCGAAAAACTTCGATATGTGGTTTCGCCAGCCCCTAAGAACTTTGCGTGGTTTCGCCAGCGCCGGACCGCTGTGCGTGCTTTGACGGAGGCTCCGTGGAGTTGCGTGCTTTGCAATAGGGACAAGCTATGTGTATTTAGAAGTTCCAGTTATTCTGGTAACTCTTGGTTCTTTTGCTTATCCATAACAACTCTAATAGATGCTGGTCTTCAAAAAATTTAGACAGTTACTTCATCCATATTTATGCTACAAGGTTCTATGTTTTAAACAAAGCAACAATAGAATACTTGTGTCTTTTGAACTACTTTTACATATTAGCGTAAAGTAAAGGAAAAATATATTTTTGAATAAAGTAATTATCTAATTTTTTGGGATCAGCGCAAGAACCAAAAGTCAGCGTAACAACGAGAACTTTTAAACGCACATATATTATGACAGCGGTTATTGTACATGAAATAACGGCAACTTTAACATAGGTAATTCATTTACATTCATTCGAGCCATGTCGAAGAGGTTCTGTGGGCACAAGTTGGCTGGCCAGAGAAAGCGCGATCCCCATAGCTTAAAAAGTAAAAGTCTACGTGTCACAAAACTTCCCACATAAATCAAAGTTAGTATGAGCTACTTTTACAATTTTTCTCAACAAAATACATGATGACATCATTTAGGCTTTCCAAATTAAAGATTTTAAAAATGCATGCATTTTTTCCATTTTGTTAACTGAAATGTTTTAAAAGTAATTGAATCTTTATCTCACATAGATGCTTATGGCAACTCATAAGTCCCTACCTACTCATCATCTACTTACATTTCTTATTTAATTTTCAAAGGCGAGAAACAGGAATAGGGCAACCTATAGGAAGCTGGGCATACACCCAAATGTAATGACTCATGCAAAAAAAGTTTGAATCCGGGGACTTGTTTCTGCCGTGAAATGTCTAGGGAGCAGTCTTTGTCGCCATTTCAAACGCCAGAACCAGAACCCCTTCCAGTATGGCGCACCATCACCGATGTCACATGACTGCATTCCGGGATTGCCTAGCCCACCTACTGCTTTGCAGGCGCTACATGCACAAAACTCACAAACGCACCAAAAAACGCGGCTTAGCAAACACAGAACAAATTCACTGTAAAAAGTTTTCGTGATTTTACGAAAAAAATGTTACGAAATGCTTCGTAAAAATATAATTTACGAAAATTTTTCGTAAGTGTCACTTTACGACAAGTTTCGTAAAGTTACAAATATAGTTCGTAACGAATGCAATTGTTTTGGTTAAACATCATAAAAGTAGACAAAAATTTATCAGTCTTTGTGGCGTTTGGTTTGCTGACGCTGGGCGGCTCGGTGGTGACGCGCATGCGTTGGGTCGGGACAGGTGGTGGCGCGCCGATGCACTCGGCGCCCGCTGGGTAGGCAGCCGTTCTGCCTCAGGTGTGGATGTGGTCGCCTACGTTGGTACTCGGCGACGCGGGGCCCACTGATGGTCACAGGCTCGGCGATGTATATCTCGCACACACTTGTCTACTCCTTGGTCACTCCGGATAGTTATTGGACGGGGTTCGTAAATAATAAGACTCCAAGTTACTAACTGTTGCAGCACTGACTCGACACACCGGGATAGGTATTCAACACTTGCACTTTCACTGACTGACCATAACGGGTGCGACTCTATGGTCCAACCACACGGTGGACAGGGACCCACGACCAGCGTGGTCCGAACCGAACGGTTTGAGGTGTAAAACTAGACTGACTTCACTCTGAGCGGGGAGACGCCGCTCCAGCGTACTGCATTGATATCTAAACGAGGGGTGCCTCACTTCGAACAATCGCTGTACACTTTGAAAAAAAATCTTATTTAAATCACTAACAATCGCAACTGAAATCCCTAAGAATCACAACAATCTTTTAAATCGCTACAATCAATTACAATCTTTTCCTCTTAAAATCGTAACAATCACTTAAAATCAATGTTGAATCAAAAGAACAGCCTTCTACAGTCAGCGTTAAATCGCAGCTATCAACTACAATCATTCATTTACTCATCACAATCCGTCGTTGAATCATTGCAATAACCAAGAATCACTTCTTAGACCATCGCAATTGAAGCACGGATCATCCGACACCTCGAATATTTCTGTCCTCAGTTGTAATTTTTACGACTGAATCTCTTATCAGGCGTCCAACAATCTTATATTAATCGTTTTAAATCAACGTCAATTGACCACAATCATTCTTAAATCACTTATATCTTCCTTGAATCTCTCTTGAACCACTAAAAATCACACACAATCATGATTTTTTTACCAACAATCATCACAATCACTTCAATCATGTAGAATCATTACAATAATTTAAATCATCCTGAATCATTTACAATCACCTACAATCATTTACAATCAAATGTGATTTAAATCGCTGTACACCATTTTGAAGAGTGAGGTACCCCTCGTATCTAAATGAGTGGTGCTCTTAATCGGCACGCATAACTACTATCTCAAGCGTTGCCCCGGCGCTGCGCTGGCCGTTGGCGCGCGTGCCTGGCCGAAGCGTGAGCCCGGCCGAGGCGGGCGGGATAGATCAGCGTGGTGACGCTGATAAATTATAATAATTTTCATACCGCCTAGATGGAGCTTTGGATTTTACAAAGCAATTCGTAAAATAACGACGTATCGTAATTTGTTAAAAACGAAGTTTTCGTAATAGAAAATTAACCGAGAAAATTTCGTAAAATTACGATAATTGTTTTAACAGTGAATACAGTAAAGAACGAGCAGATTAATTATGTAGCAAATTAATTTGGTACACCATTGCAACTTGTTTTATTTTAAAAAGATACAAATGCGTTCCTTTGTTAATAAAAATGCGTCCGGTCAAGATCTGCTTAAAAATGCATCTGTTAGAGGACTCATGTCCTTTGAAAAGTCCCTTAAGATTTAGAATGTAGACTCCATTATGTTCTGAAGGTGTCCATGGGCATGAAGGATGAAAACGGTTTGGGATTGTCTTTCTAGCATTTCCACTAATTGAACACGTGTTTGCTTGACTCAGGTAAGTCCATCAAGGCTTGCACTGAGGCGCTGCGCATGACTGAACGCGCCGTCCAGTTGGTCGGTGACCGCGCCTACCTCCGCCTGAAGCTTGCCCACATCTGCAGCCAGCTGGGCAGGAGTAGGGAAGCTGGGGCACATCTCGCCATGGCTCGCCGGATCAATCCTACAGGCGCACCGCTCTTCATGGAGTACTAGTCGCAAGGTAACAATGAAAATTGTCATTTGGTCCAAGTGTATAAATTTTTCACTACCCAAGCATATTCGAAAGTGCAACTTTCAAGATCACAACGAGCTCCCGCGGCCCGCAGACAAAATGGTCCTGTCCACAACACGTGCGAACCGCGTGCACATTTGTGCACAACACGTGCGAACCGCGGGCACATCGCGTGCACAACGCGTGCGAACCGCGTGCACAACGCGTGCACAACGCGTGCACAAACGTACTGTGCACAACTAGCTTGTGCAGAAGATCGGCCCCCCTGCAGCAGGCACGGCGGCAGGTGCAGGTATGTCCAAGTGCGCATCGCGAGCACAAGGCATACCTATCCATTGTCCAAGGTTCTGGCTACGGTTTCAATTTTTTCTGATTTTTCATATTTTTTCCCGATTTTTTCTGACTTTTTCCCAATTTTTTCTGATTTTTTTCCGATTTTTTCCCGCCGATTTTGGAGAGATCCTGGGTTTCGTCGATTTTGCTCGATTTTGCCCGATTTTGCCTGATTTTGCCCGATTCTGGCCGATTTTCGCCAATTCTTTACGAAATCGGCAGAAAAAAATCAGAAAAAAATCAGAAAAAATCGGGAAAAAATATAAAAAATCAGAAAAAATTGAAACCGTAGCCAGAACCATGGACAATGGATAGGTACGCCTTGTGCTCGCGATGCGCACTTGGACATACCTGCACCTGCCGCCGTGCCTGCTGCAGGGGGGCCGATCTTGTGCACAAGCTAGTTGTGCACGGAATGTTTGTGCACGCGTTGTGCACGCGGTTCGCACGTGTTGTACACAAAATGTGCACGCGGTTTGCACGCGTTGTGCACGCGTTGTGCACGCGGTTCGCACGTGTTGTGCACAGGACCATTTTATCACGGGGGACCCACACCAGGGTCGCCAGCGACTCACTATTCTCACTTTGTTCCACTATTTTTGAAATGACTCACTTTTCCTTTCTATTTTGATGAAACAGACACTTTTTCGGAGGTCTTTAGGGAAAATGGCCATTTTACCGCATCCAGTGAGAAATTTCGCCAGTTTTGTTCCAAAAAGCGGGGTGTGACGGACGTTTGACACAGAGCTAAGGGGACCTATGGGACGGCAGCTCTCCCGTTCACTCGGAGTGAAGACAGCGAGATGACGCAAGTGCATCCGGGTCAGGTCACTCCGAATCCAGGGTAGGTGACGGTGTGGCCAATCGTCCTACTGGACCGCCGTCACACCACGTTATCCCCGGGCGCTCCACGAACATAGAGTGCCGACCAGCGCTGGCCGATAGGGACTCGTACCGCACGCACCGTCTCTCAGACAAGTCGTCTAGCTCAGTCGATAGCGTCGCAGACTAGTAATCTGCTCGGCCCGCGTTCGACTCTCTGTCGCTTCACTTTTGTGGCGGGGTCGTCTGTCCTGCCGTCTCTTCGTCGTCTCGTTTTCGTCTCGAAATCGACCGTTTTCGAGACGAAAACGAGACAAGGAAAAGACAACCACGACACGACTAAAATGCCACAAAGAGCGATCCGAGGCTTGCTGGAAACGTCTCATTTTCGTCTCGCGGTAGCGTTTTAGGAGTGTTCTGGTACTGGCGTAGGCCTAGGTATGTTCTAGCGGCAAACAACAAAAGACGGAAAATCGGTTGTTTTTTTTCGTACGGGTTAACATGGGCAGTTGAACAAGGAAAGGAACGGAAGTGATTTGTGGACTTACGTAAAGTTGGTAAAAGGGGGGGGGGCGGACGGGCGCCTATGGCGTATGCTGGATGCTGGCTGTGCAGTGCACTCTGGAAACTGTGGTGTGAGACACTCTCGCACCATTTGGTGCGAGCCAAAATACCTCCCACCAAATGATGCGAGGCAAGCATACCTCACACCAAATGCTGCGAGATCCTCTGTGCCTCGCACAAATGAGTGTGAGATTAGTTTGGTCTCGCACCAACACTGTTAAAAATTTCTTGGGATTTCCCGAAGATTTACTTGCTACCACTATTAAAAATTCCCAGAGGACTCCGTTCTTAGGTTTTTGTGTACTAAAACAGATGTTAAGGGTGGAAGTTTTCATTCGTCTATATGTTAAAAAGCTAAACTCAAGGCTAAACTCGACACGTGAAATCTACAGAGTTCTTTGGGAAATCCCAAAGGACTTTGGCTATACTTTTCACGACTGTTCCTCCGTGAAATCCCAGTTTTTTTTTTCGAACAGTGAATGATTCCCAGACGCTAACATTGTAATTCAGTTTGAGTGTAAAGAACCTAAAATATTTGGCATTCAAAGAACGCAAAATATTGCCGTCCCTTGTACAATGCCAATCAATGACGTTATTTTCCAATGAAAAAATATGTAACACTTTTACGAGTCAAGGCTAAGTTTCAATACTGTATTGAAA